ATCACAATTCTTATTATGTAATAACATCATTTTGCCAACAGCAGACAGTCACGTCTGTCCAACGCATAATACCTAGCAGATTTCTACAAGCTCATAATAATGCAGAAGATTTATCAGACGCCCAAAGATGTATGCACAAAATAGGGACATAAAAATACTCACATACGTAAACACATTCCACACAAACAGGAAAACTACTGCGAACTTGAGATAAAATGTCGTGAAGACGATACGATAAACAACCTTTCCCTACCCATCCGTCTACCAATCAAGGGTCCCAGAGGGCCTGCCGGACCTCCCGGACCTCGAGGAGAGAGGGGACCTGCTGGGGCGTCCATTATCAGTCCTGGTTCTAGTGGCTTGTCGCACCAGGCATCTGCAGGTTATCAGGCTGACGTTTGTTTGCAATATTTCGGTCGTTTTAATACTAATTCTGCTTATGACGTGTGTAACTCAACTTGGATGTAACAGTTCTCCTCTCTGTTTTCATACTTGCTCTCCTAACACGTATTTCGATTAGGAAATGTAATTTTTGTGAAAAGATTGTTAGTATTAGTCGAACGATTGTTTGATTACGTTGCAAGAATTTCATATACAAATTTTAAAATAATAATTAAAAACTGTTGATAAGCTTTTGTTGTTTACTGAAAGGTTAAAACATGTAAAAAAATTTTACAACAATTTCTGCTCTCGCCTTCAATAACTTTGCTCCTCAAATTGTTAATCATCGAAAATGATATAATCTAAAATGATGATGAATGATAACAACGTATAATAATGTCATAAGATGACTGTGATGATGGCGATGATAAAGATGATGATGTTTATGATAATGATGATAAAGATGGTGAAAATGATGGTGAGGATGATGGTGATGGCGAAGAAAAAAAAAATGATGTTGAGATGATGAAGAAGATGACGTTGAAGACGACGATCATGATGACGATCACGATGATGATGGTAATGAAGACGACGATGATGATGATAAGTATGATTGGAAGGTAACAACCGAGATAACGATGATGAGTATCGTGAAAAAATGCAGAAAAGTGTAACCAAGCAGCTGATGATGACGATAACGATGATGATAACAATGATGATAACGATGATGATAACGATGATGGTGATGATGATGACGATGACTATGCTGATAATGATATATATTCTCTTCAAATATAATTTTTTATTCGGCAAAGTATATTATTTTTTCACGAGTTTTTATTAACGTAATAATCACTTAGTCGACGCCAAGTTCTGTTGTAAATAATTACGGAAAGAAATTATTGCATACTAATAATATCTCTATCCTTATTATTATTATTCAGCAGCAGTAATAGTAGTAGTAGTAGTAGTAGTAGTAGTAGTAGTAATAAAAGTAGTAGTAGTAGGGGTTGTAGCAGTAGTAGTAGAAGTAGTAGTAGCAAGGTAGTAGTAGTAGTAGTAGTAGTAGTGGTGGTGGTGGTAGTAGTAGTAACAAGTAAATAGCAGTATTAGTAAAAAGTCTTTTGATGTTTTAAGCTGCGTCAATAAAATATTTAAAATGTACTTATTAATGATCCATCCTTTCATTTTTTCCAACAAAAGATTATCGAATTTTATGTTTGCACTTGGGTGGGTCTAAAATAAATGGATTAATTTTTAATGCATAAAATTGTATACATACATTGCATACACAACACACTTGCACACATAGAAAAATATCCTGTGTGTTTATATGTATACACGCTGTGTGTGTATGTGTGCATGTGTGTATGTGTATATGTTAATGTGTATGTATGTGAAAACATATAAGTGTATATATTGTATACGTGTGTGAACATGTATGACTGTTCGTTTGTATGTGTATTTGTGTCTGTCTCAATGTGTACATGTACGTGTTTGTTTTTTTAACATCTTTTTAATGAAATTCTTCATCATTAATTCATCTGTTTGACAGCAATTAGCGAGTTTGATTGAAATCCTGAGAGTGTACGCATTGCTTTTTTCTGTTATTTTCAGTGCTTCTTGTTGTCAACTGCATATTTAAGTAAGTTATAATAATATAAGTAACAATAAAAAGAAAAAAAAATAAAACAACAATAATAATATTTATAATAATAATTATATCTGTTGTATAGTTGTGTCTATTGTTCTCATTAAATAGACTTTGTTATAATCATCAAAAACAGCACAACGAACCATACAACGACTATATAGACATCGACCACAACAACAAAAACAACAACAACTTAATAACCATCTCTACATTTATTATCATTATAAATCATCATCAACTTCATTATTATCATCATCGTCCTCATCGTCTATGATAAAAATGATATTTTGTCATCATCGCTATCGTTATTATTATTATTGTTGTTATTATTATTATTATTACTGTTATTGTTATTATTATTATCGTAATCATCTGACGTGCTCACGTTAACAATTAAACAACAACAGCAGAAAATCCAACGAGTTTTACATGTTACACGCGGTGATTGTAATCCCTTTATCCATCCATCTTTCCGTCTATCTATTCATTCATTTATCCACTTATTTATCTATCCATCGATTCACTCACTCAATCACTCATTCTTCCATATATCTATCCATTCATTCAGCCATCCATTCACCCTACTTGCAAGATAAACTAGATTATTAAAAATATGTGAAGAGAGATGACGACGACGACGATGACGATACAGAACTATAAAAATGCTGATAAAAAACAAAATGAAGTACGAAAAATAGGGTAACATTGTGAAAAAGTTGGAGAGAGACAAATGAGAAAATGATTAAAGGCGAAAAAAAAATCAGTGAGAGGTGATAGAAAGAATTGAGTTTAAAAATATTCTAATGAATTATTTTCAAATTTGTATAATCGTGCGTGTTACGTGTGTGTGTGTGTGTGTGTGTGTGCGTGTGTGTGTGTGAATGTAAGTGTGTGAATGTGTGTGTGCGTGAGTAAGTGAGCGTGAGTTTCTGTGTGTATGAGTTTCTGTGTGTGTGGGTATGTGTTTGTGCGATTGACTTTCCGTGCATTACACGCAAGACCGGCTGTGATGATCATGTTAACAATGCATTCCAACATAAATATCAATCTACATCTACAGGCTGTATATTATGTCTGTTCTGTGTAAGTGATGTGTCTTGTGCTGTTGTATGCGTGAGTGTGTGTGTGCGCGCGCGTATGGATATGTGCATCCTGTGTGTGTGTGTGTGTGTGTGTGTGTGTGTGTGTGTGTGTGTGTGTGTGTGTGTGTGTGTGTGTGTGTGTGTGTGTGTGTGTGTGAGTTTTTTTGTGACTGTGTTTTTATATGTTCATGCCTATTTGTTTTTTGTTGTCTGTCGGTGTCTTTGTATGTTATTTTAAATTTTTGTATCCTGTATTGCAGAGGTGGGCAAACTACAAACATTTTATGCACAAAACAAAAACAATCACTAAACATGACTAAACATGAAAAGGAGAGGATGCAGAGTTACCTACCTATTTTCAACTATTTTCTAAGCTTTAATTAAATTCCAGTCATGGATTGCCTATGTTCAATTAACTCAGATCTCACCTACCTACGTTCAACTAACTCAATCCCTAGCTTACCTATTGCTTGTTAACACAGCTCATTCTACACTTTATATTTGAAATTTTATATTACCATGTGCTTGCCTGTGTATGTGTGTGTCAGTATTTTTGTGATTATGTTTGTTTTTGTATGGTTTTTATGCGTGCATGATTGTAAGTCTATGTGTGTATCAATAAATGTTATTAAGCGTGTGTTCTGTTCAAATATTTTTGTATCTATGTGTGGTCATATTTATTTGTTTGCGTGTGTGTGTGTGTTTGTTGCTTGTATGCATGCACACCGACAGTTGTCCATTTCACTTTTGAAAGCATTCAACAATGGGTGGTATGATAGGTAAGTGGATGAAATGAAATATGCTCACATGTTCGCGTGTTTGTGTTTGTTCACATGTTTGTGTTTGTTTGTACATGTTCATGTATTTGTACTTTTTGTCTTTATGCATATGTAGATATATATGTTTATATATGTTTATATGTTTCTACATCGGTTTTCATATTCTTTTCTCCTTGTTTTTGTTTAGACTCTTTTGTTTGACTGATTGTTTGCTGGTATGTTTAAACGCTTACTTACATCTTGATATATTCTTGATATATGTCGCATGCTTGTTTGTTTGTCATATGTTTGTATGTTTGCATGTTTGTATGTTCATGCATGCATGTCTTTTGACAGTGTTTCTGAGCTCATCCTTCTTGATATGTCATTTTCTGAATGGGTATTAAACTACGTTATTTCATCATGTAATTCATTCTCACCATCCCCATTGCTGGCATCATATTTTGTCGTAATTTGCCGTTATGATATTAAAATTTTATTTTAAATTTTGTTATCTACGCACTTTCATGTAATTATTTATGTAAGTTTAGTGGTGTTTTTTCGAAATATTTCCTTTGTTCTAGTGCATTTTACGTTATGGATTTTTAAATGCACATAAACACCATGCACATATGACACGCACGCACACACCACACACACTATACACACAACACATACACGTACACATCACGTACAGACAATACACCCATACACACAATAAACACAACATACACACACACAAAGCACACACGTGTAACACACATCACCTACACACAATACACTCAACACACACATCACGCACACACGACACACAAACATTAATAATACAAACATCCACAGCAAAGCATAATTCAATATTTATTTGTTTCTCCTTTCAAACAAGAAATTACTTAAACAATGTAAATGATAATAATGTGCGTGTTTGTACATGTGTGTTTGTGTGTATATGTGTGTGTGTGTGTGTGTGTGTATGTGTACGTGTAGGCATAAATAAATTCGTGTGTGGAAAAGTGTATGTGTATATATCAATGAAAATGTAAATACATGAATTCATGAAAAGATGTATGTGTGTGTGTGGTGTGTGTATCTGTGTATCTGTGTGTGTGTGTCTGTGTGTATATGCTTTTGGGAGTGTTTTTAAGTTATTGATAAATGGATGTAGTAAATGTCTCTTCTTTGGCCATGTTATTTCCATCGTCTGCCTACAACTCAATCTGCAACTACATTCCTCGTCAACTTTGTTGTTGTTGCTGTTATTACAGTTTTTAGATTTTCGTTTATTGTTGTTAATATTGTAATAATAAAAACTCTTTCATTGATCTCAAAACTTTAAAAGCAAATGAATAAAATAGATGAAATAAAATAATATGGCGTTAATGAAATTAATAATAATAGCAACAATAATAATTATAATAGTATAAATATTATTATTGTTGTTGTTGTTGTTATTACTATTATATTTATCGAATGCCTTTATTACAAATTTTTTAATGATTTCCAAATATTTTTGTCGCATCACGCTCCTAATTTTTATCCCACCACCTTCTATCTATCCAAATATTCATCTATCCTTTCATTCATTTAATTTATTCATCTATTCATTCATCCAATCATTTATTTATGCGTTTATTCAATTATTCAATCATTCATCCAATCACCTCTTCAACCATCTTTTAATTCATCCAGCTAATTATCTATTTATTCATCGAACGTTGTATCTAGATAATCATCTTCCTACCCACTCTTAAACTTATCCACTATTAGCCAATCCATCCATTCATCCATACATACATTCATCCATCTATTCATCCACTATCTATCCATCTATCTATCCCCATCCAGCCAGCCTGTTGAAACGGAAAGTGGCATTCTGCGTTGGTTTGGTACCAAATATGGGACCAGTTGTCGAGCGGACGACAATCAAGTTCGACAAAATCGTAACGAATTTCGGATCGGCTTACGATTCGAATACCGGTATCGTCACTGCGCCAGTCAGAGGAGTCTACCATTTCACCGTTATCATTAGCGCCCAGAGCCAGCAAAAGGTTAGCATTGGAAGATGTTGAGTATATATATATATATATATATATATATATATATATATATATATATATATAACTCGAATATGAACGTAGAATATAACATAAGATAACATTGAAATGATGATCGTAGATTAAAATCCATGTGTTCATATCTAATATGTGATAATAATTTAAATGTCCAAAAAACAACAATAATAATATGAAATAGTATTAAAAAAATAAAAAAAATAATTAAATACAATAATAATAACAACAACAATAAAATCAAACTACAATACCATATGGATAATAAAATAATCGAATACATATAGATGCAATATGTATCTGTCTATCAACCCAACGTGTAGTCCTCATCGCCGGTGCCTATATAAAATTGTGAATTATCGAATTGAAACATAAAATAGATTAACTTTTTGAAACTTCAACATATAACTCACCTAAACCAAAACCATACGCCCATGTATGAGTATATAATTATAATGTGTGTTGCGTGTGTGGGTGTATGTATGTGTGTGTGTGTGTATGTGCGTGTCTGCGTGTTTGTGTACGGCTGACATTTTTATAACGCAACATTTTTAAACACCATACACATAGTACATTTGTTTCCATCATATCACCTCTCTTTTTTTTACAGTTTTAACTTCCCACATTTCTTTTGTTCTGTAAACTTTTGCATTTGTTTTTAAATTTATTTTTATTTATTTTATTTTTCTCTTTGATTGGATAATTTTTTCTTTGTTCTCTTTCTCTGCTACGTTCATTATATTTCATTCCTTCTTTTTTGTATCTTTACATTTCTATTATTATTTCTCTTCTCTTCATTTTTTCTCTTATTCTCTTTCTTTCCCTCTTACTCTTTTTCTCCTTTTTTCACGCATCTTTCCTTCCTATCTTTCTTTTTCTATCTTTTTCTCTTTCTCTCTCTTTCTTGTGTGATTCATGTTTTTCATTTTTCAGCCTTTTTAAATTTTATATCTTTTCTTACTCGCTTGTTTTTCTTTTTCATTTTCAATCCTTTTTTAATTTCTCTCTTTCTCTCTCCTTCTCTCCCTCTTTCTGCGCCCTTCTTTTTTTCTTTCTGCCTTTCCCTCTCTTTCTCTCTCTTTTTCTCTCTCACTTTACACGGCAGTCAGTCACTTGCGAAGAAGCGGGTTTATCTACTCGTAATGCTCAAATAATTCGTCTTGCCTGTCTTTCATTTGTCGGCAATAATGTTTTATACGGACATAAAATTCTTTGTCTGTGTGTGAGGTGTGTGATTGTGTGTGCGTGTGTGTGTGCGCGTGTGAGTGAGTAAGTGAAAGAAAAAATGAATACAGATGGAAAATTTAGAAAAAATAAAAGGGTTAATTGTTTCGAATGAGGGTGATTGATGACGACGACGATGATAATGATGATGATGATGATGATGGCGATGATGATAATAATGATAACTGTGGGAGTTATGATAACGATGATGTTGAATGGGAGTGGATTGATGCTGATGACGATTGCAGTAAGTGGCGATGATGATGATGATGGTGGCTGATGATGATGATGATATTTGATTTTTTATTATTATCTGTACATTATGCTAATATATATTTATGTCAAAATTTTTGTATGTAGACTTTGTTGTTTGTGAGGAATTTATGTTTTTTAAACTGATGAAACTCTCGACAATGTTTTGATTTTTGAGTTTAATATTGTCGCTATCATCTTCATCATCATCGTCATCATCAATTATAATGATAATAATATAATAATAATATCATTATTAATTATTATTCTATTATATTTACCATTTATCTACTCATCGGAACATCTATTCATTCATCTATCCATCAACCATCCATCTATCCATTCATCCATCTATCCATTCATCCATCCATCCATCCAACCACTTACATTTCATACTGTGCGGCACTTTGTTTATTTATTCCCATTATTCTCCCGTTAATTTGTTCAATCATTCATTTGTCATTCGTTTATATTCCTTCTATCACTCATGCGCTCATTCATTCAATTCAATCAAAAAATCAGTAAATTACTTGTTTGTGGGAATAATATTCGCCGACTGTGAACTCTGTTACTGGTTCCTTCATTCCTTCATTCATTTGTTTCATCATTATTTCGCACTCCATTCTTAAAACCTTGACATGTTCGTTTATGTTTGTTCGTTCACTCGTTTGTTTTTCCACGAGGTTGTTGTTCGTTCGTTCATTTGTTTGCTCTTTTTTTGCTTGTTCTTCCGTCGATTGTTCATTTGTTCGTTCGTCTGGTTTCTCCAAGCGCCAATTATATCTCTACTTCATAGGGGTTGGTATTTGAATGTAGTTGTTCATCAAACTATATTGTCCTTTTAGCTGTACAACAGTCCTTCTCCATTCCTGTGTTTGAAACTGTTCATTCGAGTGTGTGGAGTCGTCAACTTTGTATGCACTCATTATTTGCTGGCTAATTTAGTCATTTAGTCATTCATATATTTGTTTAATTATCCAGTTTGTTAATAGATTCATTTCTTATTCACTTTCTTCTTTTTCAATCATAATTTCATTTAACAACTAATTCATTCATTCATTCAGTCATTCATTTATACATTTATTTATTCGTTCGTCCGTTTGTTCGTTTGTTCGTATATTTGTTCGTACGTTCGCTCGTTTGTTCGTCCATTTGTTCGTTCATCACGTAATTTATATAATTTCTTCCATAGCTTCAATCAATCAATGACAAACCCCTCAACAGAACTGTCAACGTTATTTCAACCGTCATTTAATTATTACAGATCGTGTTAAATAAACCATTCATCATCTTATTCATTTCTTTCCTTCATTCATTCACTCATTTTTATTCATTCATTTATCGTTCTATCTCTTCTTTCATTCTTCCTTTTCATTTCTTCAATTTCTTAATTTTTCATTCATTCGTCAAAATTGTTTCCTCGTCAACCTCTCCTACATTCGGTCCATTGGTTAATTATTTGTAATGTATTCAGCGGCGATCTAGGAGGGGGCTGAAGGGGGTCATAATCCTCCCCCAGTTGGGTCATAATCCTCCCCAGTTGGATTATAATCCTCCCCCAGTTGGGTCATGGTCCTCTTCCTGTTGGTTCATGGTCTCCTCCCGTTGTGAGCAATATTGTAGTGGTTAAAGTTTTAAGTAGAAATTCGACCATAAATAAATTGATGTAATAAGCCAAAAAAGGTCGCCAGCCAAACATATTTAGATGATTTATATAACTGTTAATTATCCAATTATTAATTATTTAATTGATAGATTAACTGATTAATTAATTGATTCATTCATTCCTTCGTTCATATTTACTTAATTCGTTCGTTTGTTTTTCTTTCTATTTCACGTCCGTCCATTGGCGTCACTAGGGTTGGTGTCACCCGGTGCGGTAACTCATGGTGTCACCCCTCTCATGACACCCCATAGACATACAGCATTCTTAGCAAAATTTATAAACACGAACAAGTTAAATGTGCTCGGCCGCGGCGCTTAATAATTCGGACGTCGAATTTGAATGGTATAAATGTCGAATACAAAAATGATTTGAACTAAAAAAATTTTATTCATAATACATTTCTGGGCGCTGGGCGGGTTAAGCTGAATTAATGATAAGAATAATTTCATGGAGGGACATAAAAACATATACAGTGATATTTTGGTGTCACCCCCTGTGAGTATGTCACCCGGTGCGGTCCGCACCCCCCGCACCCCCCTAGTGACGCCACTGCGTCCGTCCATTTGTTTGTCTGTTCATTGATTCATTCATTAATCCATTCTTTCACTTATTTATTTTATGTTTATTTATCCATCCATCCATCTATCCATCCATCCATCCATCCATCCATCCATCCATCCATCCATCCATCCATCCATCCATCCATCCATCCATCCATCCAGTCCTTCATTAGTCTATCTATCGACGCTGTTGATGTTATAGTTGTTGGGTTTCTTGACGTATGATGACGTCAGAAGATGATGGATTGATGGTGGTGAAAGTTCAATTTCAACAGCATAATCACAGTCATCCCTTTCTTCATCATCATCGTCGTTATCATTATTATCATCATAAAAGTAATTAACATCGACGACATCATTACCATCTACTTCATCATCATCATCTTCTTCTTCATCTTCTTTATCGTCGTCGTCATCTTCCCCACCATCATCATCAGCACTGCTGATTATCATTTTAACACAACCGCAAAAAAACGTGTTTACGTTTTTTTATATTTATTTGAAAATCATTTGTTCATTCATTCATTCATTCATTCGTTCGTTCGTTCGTTCATTCATTTATTCATTTATTCACTCATTCATTCATCCATCTATCCACCCACTCATTATTTGTTTTTTCGATTATTTGTTTTTCATTCGCTCACTCACTCATTCATTCATCATTCAACCCACTGTTTGTTTCTTCACTTGTTCTCCTCCATCTGACGTGTAATTATTTGGTGTTTTATTTTTTTTATTTTTTTTATTTTTTCAACACTTGCTCAATCATCATTTTTAATCATCATTTCCAGTTTTACTTTATCTCCTTATCACCATCATCACAATTGCTGTATACAATATCATCCTCACCACCACCACATCATCACATCACCATCATATCACCACCACCCCATCACATCACCATCACACCACCACATCACCCCATCACATTACCACATCCTCACCACCACATAGCCATACACCACACCCACGCAGGCGGCTGTAGCGATCCTCCACAACAACGATCTGGTGGCCACGGTGTGGTCTGAGAGCAAGCCCTTCTGGTCGACTTCCAACAGCGTCATCATACTCGAACTCAAGAAGGGCGATAAGGTGGGAAAGTTATTCATCTATTATCACCGTCGCCATCATCGTCCTAGTCGTCGTCACATCATT